TCTTAGAATAAAGTTTTAAAAAATGATGCACCAAGAAGGGGATATCTGATTGGAACAAAACTGGGTAGATGTTACGTACATGTATGAAAAAAGATACATCTAAAATTTCAGAGGAATTGAATACTTTGATCAGAGGTACAACTACCTAAACATTGCGAATAAATCGACTAGACGTTGATCTCTTTTGACTAGGCGTTGATCTCTTCTTGTGCAAGTAATTGTCTGGCTTCGCATTGACTTGTAGACTTCTTGTGAGATATCTTGCCAATTCATCTCCAAATATCGAGTTAGATCGGAGATATCCGGATGGTCCGAGGGGTGCCTACTCATCAGACCTCAAATATGCTTTTATTTGGGAGAAATCTAGTGATTTAGCAGACTAGGCATGCAGACCCGAGATGTATCGAAAGGAAGGCAAACACAAGAGTGTGTAGAATACCATCGATATACCGACGCATCCTAAAGGCGTCGTGAACGACATCCTAAAGACAAGTAAAGTGGTCCAACTGTCAAATGAAATGACAACACAGACCACATGTTCCTGTTGTCAGGCTATCTCACAACTACGGACGTCTCTAGATAGGTTTTCGTTGGCCGTCGTGGCTCAGTTCGAAGCAGAACACATCGAAGACAATTCTGCTTCAGTCAAGTTAGATTGCAAATCGAATGACCTCAGCACTACTTCAACCGTACTTCTCGATGTAAACACGTAAAAAGTAGTCGGTGCATCGGGCGTCGTAAGCTCAGACCCCCGTTCTGCGAAACGCTTACCAATTGTTCTTTTGTTCTTAAGGGCACTGGTATCGTGATCGTTGATAATGACAATCAGGAGCTACAAGAGCCACTGGGAAGATCACTCTGATTGACTCGCGGAGCCTTTCGTACTATTAATTTTTATAGCGGAGACGCTTAGAATTACCCTATGTCTTACGAGGTAATGCTATTTAGAAGTAGTGTTACGGGGTGAGAAGGGTTACAGATAATAAGAGAACGTAAAATAAAGAGATTTTTAAAAATTAAAATTGTTTTAAAAATTTAGAATTTAACCAGAAAATCTCGATATTATCAAAACTTAGCCGTGCATAGATTTTTTTTTCAAAGTTCAATAAATAAAACCATTTGCGTTACAGCAGAGTTGACATTATTTTTGAGAGCAATAACAAGAACGTCCAGACAATAGACTCAGTTCCTCTAATTTAAATATTACAGCTAGTCAATTCAAATACATATTCCTCTATAAACTGTTATTCGGAAATTTATTATTCATTATAAAAGACAATTCCAGTTTAATTTTACTGCGCTATAATGCAACAGTAGGCGTAAATTATATAGCAGAAAATATTACTTAAATGTTTAATGGCACACCTGTGGCTGCATTTTTTGTACTTGATTTCCTTATTTTATTTTCAGCTGGTGATAATTAGGAGCGAAATGTTTCTACGTTTAGGGGGATCCGATACTTTATTTTGATACTTGTACAAGCGAAGAAAGACCCGTTTTACGGAGGCATGTAGTATAGAAACGCTTCAAACTACTAATTTCAATTTCTCAAACAAGATTTTGAATTCATCTCGTAAACGTTGCAGCCAAATCCCTAGTAGATTTCGATTTTGTACAGCGATTTTTAGTTTGATGTGCGATGTCAAATCTATAACTTCTTATTTCGCTGAATTTTAGTTGTGTGGTTTTGTATTTACTGTGAATACATTCAGTAGCCTAACTCTGAGCTGTCGGAAAATAATGTTCGAATGTATTTTTCAAAACTTTGAAATGGCATGGATTCTCTGCTCTGTTCTTGAATCTTGATGCTATTTTTATTCAAGTGACATTTCGTGAGAGGGAAGCAAGCAATATCTTACTTTCCAGCGTACTGCAGTTAATACACATCTTAAAAGAAGGCACTCGGCACTCAAGCGTTTATCTCAAAAACTGCAATTTTCTCTTCCAAGGATTGATTTATTTAGTTCATTTTCTAAAAGTGTCCGCCAGGCATGTCAGTTTGTAGATTTAATCTTTATTTAGGTTTAAAATCGACGTCAGTACAGTCTTATGGTCCAACAAAAAGGTTGCAGTCACTTTAGTCCAGCGTGCAGTAGTTCCTAAGGGCTTCTCATATTTTCATATATTAATTTGAAGAGCTTGTTTTTAAGAGGTTCCGATTTTATATAATTTATTGCATTTTTGCTATCATTGAACACTATCATAAGCTTAGAAGATGTTTATTTCCGGTCTAGACTGTGTCTATGGAGAATACAGTGCCTGCTGCAAAATTTCATTGCGTATCTTTCATCTTGACAGTGGCTCCAGAATTGTGAACTATCGTTGCCTTTGCGTCCCCAGGACACATATCTGAACAGTTTTTTTTTCTGGACATTACATTTTGTGATTGGAATTCATCCAGGAGATTAAATATTTCACTCCCTTGTAAAGATTCTGTACTGTGTACTTCTAAGTTACAGTTGAATGTGAAGAATCTAAGAACTAGTAAGCGAATAATTGCTTGAGTTCGTGGGGTAGAAAACAACAAGTATATTGTACAACTCCGTCTTGGAGTGGTACAATAAAGCCGACACTCGGGCATGAACTTAAAAAGCTAAGAACTAAACTAAACTAATTTTAACTAAAGAGATAAAGCCGAAGCTATCAAACTTCTAACGGAGTTAGCCCCTTAACGCTAATTGACTGCGAAGCTATCAATGAGCTAAAGTACGGCCGAGTGTAATTACAGCTTAAAGAGAGAGTAGCCTAAAAAGGTGGGCGCGTGATAACCAGAATCTCTGGTTCTCTCTAACTAAAACAGTAGAACTTCCACCGCTCTTCCTCATTTGCATTCAAACGTGTTTCTAAAACTACGTTCTAGCCGGAAGTGGTAAGTTGAAATTAAGAAGCGATAGGAAAGGAAGTTTAACTCAAAATTTAACTGTTAATAAAATTAACATAATCTTTACACCTTATGTGTTGCTTAGTAGTGGTCTGCAAGCAGAAGAAGTTCCTCCTCATAGATTTTTGAGTAAATATATATATATATATATATATATATATATATATATATATAAAAAAAAAAACTATTAAAACAGCAACCCAGTGACGTCAGTTGATTCATCCGTTTGGAGCGTGTATTGATATATCTGATGTATTGATAAATTTCTCTTTCACACAGTCAACAATATCACTGATTCATCTATTGACGTTATTAATTGACAAGTATCAAGTGTATCATTAATTGTCATTAATTGACAAGTTATTAATTGACGTTATTAGTTGACAGCTATCTTAACAGTATTTTGTGTCAAGCGAATATTTGACAATATCGATTGTAGAAGGTTTAATATGATGTTCTACAATGGTATGAACTTCAACAGCTCGAGCTGTATGGAAATTGATTAGATGGAAAGTTTTCAATACTTTTTATTTTTTGATTTTAGTAAGTACTCTCATAGTTTGCTGTGAAAACTAAAATGCACTTGAGAACTCACTCGGTGCATTTCCTTTCGAAGGCACAGTTTATTTTTTAACTGGCAGTGATTTCTATCAAAATGACGTCGCAGTTTAGCTGAAAGCTTGGCACTATTGATCGACACGTTTCCATAAATCACATATAAAATCCGTTAAGGTTCTATCTTATTTTTATCACAATTAAAAGTTTCAATTAGTTTTCAAATGACTCTTTCATTCGTTCACTCCAAAAACATAAAAATTAGCAAAGAACCAGAAAGAATAAAGAAAGAACGTAAAAACGATTATTAATGTATAGTTGCTGTTTTCTTTGATTTATTAAGCAGCTTATATCGTTTGCATATCATTAATCCCTTAAGCTGGTTAATTAGTTTAGCTATCCTGGAAGTAAACGAAATTTAAATTACTCTTTGCAGTCAGTAAAGTTCAAAGCACGCATTTGCCACTGGAGTTTAGGATGTTTAAACCCCGTTATAATTAATTGTACATAGTCTATTCTCTGTAGTCTGCAATAATTAGAGGCTTTTAATTTGTATCATGTTTTGTGCACATCCAGCTGTAAACTTTCCGAGAATTTTAGAAATGAATTTTTGAAAGAAAGGATTTTCCGGCTGACAATTCGCAAACGACAAAGTAAGTCTGCTTAGCATTTAGTAAGAAGTTAAAAAGTTCAGTTGTTAAGACAAAGCATGCGAAAACTATCATATTTATTTAAAACAGGAAAATGCCTTTGTAGAATACTTTTAAGGGAAACCAATTAGTACTCTCTTTATATAAGAAAAAAATCCGCAAAGCCCATAGCAGATTGAAAATTACTTATCTCTGTAGTTACAGATATCAAAATATAGACTACAGAGTAAACTACGGAGGCTGTTTTGTCCAGTGATGGGCGCTGGTGCTGTCGGTTAGATGAAGAGACTGAATGATTTAAGACAGACGTGCTGCTACATTTAAGAGATTTTTCTGAAGGAAAAAATTAGTTATAATATAAAAATTTATCGCAATACAGTATGACAGAAAGAAAACCGACAATGATAATCATTATTTTAGTTCTTCATATTTTCCTGCGGTTTTCAAATTACTGATTATTAATATTGATGGCAATTTTACATTTAATCATAGTTTTAAGTGAAGTTCATAATTAATACTTTTAAAATAAGACAACCTGGTTGTTACTGCAGTAAAAGAAAGAAAGTATATCAGATCGCATAGTAACAATTATATATCACAACAAAATTCATAAAACACTGAAATAGTAGAATTTATAGAATTGAAACGCAAATAAAAAATTTATTTTGATGTAATTAATATTCAGTATTAAAAATATGGAAGGATGGATGTTTAAAAAAAGCAACACGAGTTCTTGATCGTGGTAAATTTTTATAGAACATGAAAGGTATTTATTTATTTGGTGTTGTTTAAGAAGATTAAAGGAAAGTTTCTTTTTATCTTTAGTTCTTATATCTTAAAATCCAAAACAGCAATTTAAAAAGAACATTCCATGTATTTGAAAAGGAAATAAATGAATAAAAAGAAAAGTTTACTTGCTCAATTGCTTTTCTCAGAGAATTTCTCAATCTGAAGTCCTCAAAAATGTGAGAATCGTAGGTAATGGATGTTTTGATATTTTTCCTGATACTAGTCTCTGTGAACTTGGAATTTCTTATCGCAGGTCAACGGAAAATACTTACAATCAAAATCAAATAGACGTAGAACTATGATAACAATGTCTGTTCTTTATCGAAGACTACTTCTCAAACCTACTAATCTAAAGTCCTTGCTGCAATAACATTCAGCAGTGGCGTATGAAAAGCCAATCAAAATGTTTAAATACAACTGGTGTCTTTAATTCATATTTTTAATAGCAGTAATTTCAGTAATAAACTCAGTAATTATTTTTCCAGAAATTTGAATTAATTTTCTTTTTGCATCCAAGAAATAAATGCGTAAAGGATGTTTTGATACATTTCATTAAAGAATTTCAGGTATGTCATTGAAAATGTAAGCAAAACACCAGTTATCTTTCTTATCATTAGCAATTATCCTAGATGTAGATAGAAGTAACTGCAGATTATTTTCCTCGAGGAAAACAAAAATAAAATGAACTCTTTTAACTAACCTAATTTATTCTTTTGTTTTATGGCCTAGCTGCTCATTTATATTTTATATCGCAATCATCAGTACTATTAACTCCAGCAAACAAAGCATTATGAAATGATTTATCATCTTTAATTTTATCGATACAGAAATTTCTCTTCAACAATGGGAAACTGGCTGAGTGGACTGATTCCAGCCCTTCTGTAGCTGGCTTAATTTTGTATATTTATCTGGAAAATGCCTATTAAATAGTTAACTATGTATAAACTCGTAATTTCGAATCTGTTTTAAAAATGGGCTTTATTAGATATCCACTTATAAAGAATTTTTCAGGCCGAGTGTTATATGCAACAGTTGCATGCTTGTCGAATCAAAAGATAGATCTGACATATCCTTTGAGTATTCATGAATATTAGGTTAAGTTCAAGTGACTAGGCATCATGGATTGTGCCGGACAGACCTGCACATTGTCCCACGTCAGGATATGTCTCTGTGTGCTCCAAGATTTTGTAAATATATTTAACATGAACTTTGTACTGCTATTCCAAATAGGCATGAATATACAGGGTGTTTCTAAATGAATATCAGGGTTTTAACGCTTTTTAGTGTTTATTACGTAAAACTTAAAATTATAATTAATATATTAAAAAAGGAGGAACTCGATCAGTTATACCTACAAGCCTACAAGTGTTCAATGTGAGCACATTTCGTCTCACGGCACACATCCAAATCGAAAACCCTTGGTCCCCCCGTACTCTTCCCTTTTCAAGGGAAGAGTACGGGGGGGATCAATGAGTCCGATTTATAACAAAAGATGACTCCCTTTCTTGACCTAGGAACTCAAAAACCAAATCATACAAATTAAGATGGAAAAACACTTACCCCAAAAGGAAGCAGATGAATTTCGATAGCATGGCTCTATCCTCAGGAAAAAGGGTTCCAACAGCTGTGCAGTCATCGATGAGTGTGTTACTCTCACTAGGACTGCAAAGCTGTTGAGGAAATTCCGTGCACATGGCCATAGGATAATGGTTTCGTCTGTCTTGAAAAAAACACTACCGAACAGATGGTAGAAAGATATTTACCTGATGAAGCATAATTCATTAAAATATCGTATTTATAGAGATATGAACTTCCATAAAAACTGATTGTCTGAGTATAAAACTGACACCGAGCTAAACGTAATCTGGTTATACGCTTATTATTACACTCATATCCATAAATTAAGGATAATTCGGAGTCACGCGGAAATCAAACTCTAAAATAAATACATCACCTGTAAAATCACTACACACATCTTCAAGAATCATATGCAAATTTCAAGAAGTAACCAGATGACACCGATGGTACGTCACAATGACGAGAGTGTAAGAGAGTGATATATAAGGAATACAGGCAAAGAAGTAAAATTGTTCGCAGGCGCTTTATATGCATTTTAGTGCAATAACCGAATAGTTATGACACAAAGGATGCATTTGGATGATTTTTTACGTGGTAGAATTATCGGCCGTCTGGAATGTGGGCGTACCCAACTGGAAGTATCAGACGAACTTGGAATTGCCCAGAGTGTCCTCTCCAGGCTTTGGCAACGATTCCAAGATGATGGTAATGTGAGTAGACGTTACAGCACAGGTCGCCCCAGAGTTACAACGCCGAATGAAGACCGGTATTTGGCAGTTACTGCCAAAAGAAACAGGCCGGAGCACAGCCTCAGACCTGTCTCGTCAGCTCTCTTCAGCCACTCGTACGACAATTTCAAGGCAGACCGTGTACAGATGCTTAGGGCAGAGTGGTCTATATGCTCGTAGACCTGTCAGATGCGTTCCACTTACTGCAACTCACTGTCGCCTGCGGTTAGCCTGGAGTAGAGAGCATGCATTGTGGACACCGCAACAGTGGGCTTGTGGGATGTTTTCCGACGAGTCCAGGTTTAACTTGCAGTCTGATTCTCGACCGGACTTTCATATGGAGAGCTTCAGGTACCCGTTACCACCAAGAAAACATCATTGAACGACACCGTTACTTTGTAATTTGCTCCAGGGAGAAAAAATCGCTAATTTTTTTAATAATATAAATCATCTTTTTTTGCTCTTTACCTTTTGTTTAATAAATAAGCTTTACAAATAAGTCAAATTTGTTTTGCTTCTAACTCTTCCTTTGCCTGATTTTGCATTATCCTTAATTTATGGACATGAGTGTAGTTTTTTATGTGTTTTTTCTGTCTAATCCGAAGCATTCATAACTTAATTCTAGTTAATGGAAACTTTCGTCAAAACAAAATATATTTGTGTAATAAATAAGTTGATGTCAACCACCTCTAAAATCGACAGAATTTCTGAAAATATAAATAACCATTGGTAGTTATGAATTCATGGCGCTCGCCGTTGGTTGGAGCTCCGAGAGTCCTATCTCTGGAATTATTCGATAGCTTGACATTAGCATTGGAAGAAAGATGTTAAGCCTAATCCCGAAGGAGCGTGAATAATAACTGGCTGTAAAACATTGTATTATACTGGAAATAAAATTTGTATGTGTATTAATAACCACCAGAATGATCACTTTCCTCTGGATTTCATACTCGAACAGTAATCTAACGAATGGTGATGTAGTTGCACAGTAATTAACACTGTCGTATTGTCTAAGGCGACGACTTTCACAGACATTTGCTTGGAATTTTAAAATCAGTTTGGATAGTTTCACAGCAACTTATGAGCCGTTTTGAAGTGGAAAAAAATAACTGTATGAATTGCTTGAAAAAATAGGTTAGTTCTTCAAATTCCTCAAGCAAAATTCCTCGCTTCTTCAGTTGTTGAAATTATTAGCAAAAAGGGCGTTAGCGCAGAAGGGCTATTAATTTCGTTTGGTAATTTGTTGCGTTTCACGATAAGCGGCGTTTCACTTTTCAAATTGTTGCCCCCAAATATTATCGCCCTGTGTTATATTTAAAGAAATTAAATAATGAAGAATCTGCATGTATGTATGTTTCTCGCATTGTGATAAAACAACAGTACCTAGAGCCATCAAATTTTGAATAACGTACATCTCCACCTGAATATTGGCATCTGGGAGCACTAATTTTGAATTTGAATTTTTTAAAATTATTTATTTCAAAAAGTCTTTATCAGTTTTTGATTAAGAAACTCAACGATTTCAAATCGAGCGATGGCAACACTGTACGGGAAAAAAAGTCTCCAGCGTGCGAGCGAGGCTGTGTATCGGAAATTCTAAAGATATGCTCTTTTAAAAATATTTTGTGATATTGCTGTTGAATTTTTATGGTTTCAGTGCGAAAAATATTTATACATAAGGTAACATACAAACGTCACTTCGGGGTTAATCAGGTTTTTCCGTCTTACTTCTTTGGGAACATGCAAGGACCTGACTCGGAACAGAGAGCTTACTAAAGCTATGTTCAATAACTGTGGGAAGTAGACAGGATACACAAGAAGGGTATACAAAACCCTTTATTTTTCTCTTTACAATAACTTCCGTACTTCGGAATACAAAGACCCACTACTTGTGGTCTAAAACGTAAAATATAAAAATAAAACTAAACTCTTAACTTTGAAATAATAAACGTGGAAGATTGGCCTTATATTAACAGGAAGCCGTATGTAGTACAGAGAACTGTGAACACTACAATACGTTTAAAAATTATCAAGAGGATTAAACCTCTGGCCTGGAAGGCAACCAGCAACTGAGTAAAACTTCTAAGGTAAGCGGCCTGCTTCGACTAACTCCTTCCTCTCTCTCGCTTGGCAAAAAGCCACAACTTAAATACTTGGCGTTCGCCAGACAAATTTTGCATAAATAAGTTAACGCTTATAATTCTGGCCGGAAGTAGAAAATAAGAAGTGATAGTAAAGATTTAAAATAAAATAAACGTTAGTAAAACTTAAGATCCTTACATACTTCCCGCCAGAGTTAATTAGTTTGAAACTGAGGTCTAAAACGACCTTGTTGAAAACTTTTAGCTCTAGAATCTAACGCGAGGCCAATCTTTTACAAACATTTTCGCTAGAAACTAGAAAATTTAAAAAAAAAAAAAGAAATTTGTTTTTACAATAGCAGCTCCAAGGACACGCAATTTTTTTCATCTGTACTGCATCTAAACAGGAGCTTTTATTCAAATCTGGTTCCTTCCAGAGATCTGGAAGGAAAACTAGTTTAATGAAATGTTACACAATGAAATGGCAAGTAACATGATATTTATATTTCTCTTAACATTCTTATTTCATTCATGACTATTTTAATTATCTCTCCCCGTGCTCTCTGACATGTGTTGTAAAAGAACACCAAACACGAATGTGTTTATGTCTACGTGTTCAACACTTCCTCCTACAATCAAAACACTAACGTGTTAAAAATTCAACATACCAAGACCTCTTAACACACCCTAATTTCAACTCTAAACCCTGAGGTACTATTCTGAAAGTGGCTAACTCTGAAGTGTAGCGTCAGAGAGCCTAACTACATTCATTCAACCTTTAACACATATTCACCATGATTTAGTCTTTTTACAGTCACACGAATAAAAAAAAATTTTAACATTACTTTCACTTTTACCATATCACGGTATTTC